GATGTAAAGTGTTCCAAATGTTTGTCTGATTCTCAATCGACCTGCGATGAAATGATCAGTCCCAGACCTCTGCATTATTTCCTCTGAATGTATTTCATAAAGTTTCTTCACAAACAGTGCTTTTGTTGGTGCGATAAAAAAATGAAGGTCTCAAATCACAAGATTCAAAATGAAAACCCTGAAACCCACAGATCCTGCTGCATTAAAGCCCCCGCACACTGGCGTTCTGGTGAAAGGATTTACACTTGATTTGATACAAAGGGAACCTGATATAACAGTTTAACTTTGCATATCCGCAGTCATCATTAAGATCAAGGTTAGACACTGGGGAATTTTCAGTGTTGCATCACGAGTTACAGACAGTTGGAATGAGGAGCACGCAGCAAAATCAATAATAACTCTATACTCAAATAAAATCAAATATACTATACTATACAGTACTACTTCCTCATAACATAACAAGAAGTCATAACACCAGCCACGTCCCACAGTCTATGGGACGTCCCGCTGTCAGACTGTACACAGAGGGCTGTCAGACTGTACACAGAGGACTGTAGGAGCTGTACACAGAGCGCTGTCAGACTGTACACAGAGGGCTGTCAGACTGTACACAGAGGACTGTCAGACTGTACACAGAGGACTGTAGGAGCTGTACACAGAGCGCTGTCAGACTGTACACAGAGGGCTGTCAGACTGTACACAGAGGGCTGTAGGAGCTGTACACAGAGCGCTGTCAGACTGTACACAGAAGACTGTAGGAGCTGTACACAGAGCGCTGTCAGACTGTACACAGAGGACTGTAGGAGCTGTACACAGAGCGCTGTCAGACTGTACACAGAGGACTGTAGGAGCTGTACACAGAGCGCTGTCAGACTGTACACAGAGGACTGTAGGAGCTGTACACAGAGGACTGTAGGAGCTGTACACAGAGCGCTGTCAGACTGCACAAAGAGGACTATCAGACTGCACACAGAGGACTGTCAGACTGTACACAGAGGACTGTCAGACTGTACACAGAGGACTGTAGGAGCTGTACACAGAGCGCTGTCAGACTGTACACAGAGGACTGTAGGAGCTGTACACAGAGCGCTGTCAGACTGTACACAGAGGACTGTAGGAGCTGTACACAGAGCGCTGTCAGACTGTACACAGAGGACTGTCAGACTGTACACAGAGGACTGTAGGAGCTGCAGACAGAGCGCTGTCAGACTGTACCCAGAGGACTGTCAGACTGTACCCAGAGGACTGTAGATGCTGTACACAGAGGACTGTCAGACTGTACACAGAGGACTGTAGGAGCTGTACACAGAGGACTGTCAGACTGTACACAGAGGACTGTAGGAGCTGTACACAGAGGACTGTCAGACTGTACACAGAGGACTGTCAGACTGTACACAGAGCGCTGTCAGACTGTACACAGAGGACTGTAGGAGCTGTACACAGAGCGCTGTCAGACTATACACAGAGGACTGTCAGACTGTACACAGAGGACTGTAGGAGCTGTACACAGAGGACTGTCAGACTGTACACAGAGGACTGTCAGACTGTACACAGAGGACTGTCAGACTGTACACAGAGGACTGTCAGACTGTACACAGAGGACTGTCAGACTGTACACAGAGGGCTGTCAGACTGTACACAGAGGACTGTCAGACTGTACACAGAGGACTGACAGACTGTACACAGAGGACTGTTAGACTGTACACAGAGGACTGTCAGACTGTACACAGAGGACTGTCAGACTGTACACAGAGGACTGTCAGACTGTACACAGAGGACTGTCAGACTGTACACAGAGGACTGTCAGACTGTACACAGAGGACTGTCAGACTGCACACAGAGGACTGACAGACTGTACACAGAGGACTGTCAGACTGTACACAGAGCGCTGTCAGACTGTACACAGAGGACTGTAGGAGCTGTACACAGAGGACTGTAGAGCTGCACACAGAGGACTGTCAGACTGTACACAGAGGACTGTCAGACTGCACACAGAGGACTGTAGAGCTGCACACAGAGGACTGTAGAGCTGCACACAGAGGACTGTCAGACTGTACACAGAGGACTGTCAGACTGCACACAGAGGACTGTAGAGCTGCACACAGAGGACTGTCAGACTGTACACAGAGGACTGTCAGACTGTACACAGAGGACTGTCAGACTGCACACAGAGGACTGTAGAGCTGCACACAGAGGACTGTAGAGCTGCACACAGAGGACTGTCAGACTGTACACAGAGGACTGTCAGACTGCACACAGAGGACTGTAGAGCTGCACACAGAGGACTGTCAGACTGTACACAGAGGACTGTAGAGCTGCACACAGAGGACTGTCAGACTGTACACAGAGGACTGTCAGACTGCACACAGAGGACTGTAGAGCTGCACACAGAGGACTGTCAGACTGTACACAGAGGACTGTCAGACTGCACACAGAGGACTGTCAGACTGCACACAGAGGACTGTAGAGCTGCACACAGAGGACTGTAGAGCTGCACACAGAGGACTGTCAGACTGTACACAGAGGACTGTCAGACTGCACACAGAGGACTGTAGAGCTGCACACAGAGGACTGTCAGACTGTACACAGAGGACTGTCAGACTGCACACAGAGGACTGTAGAGCTGCACACAGAGGACTGTCAGACTGTACACAGAGGACTGTCAGACTGCACACAGAGGACTGTAGAGCTGCACACAGAGGACTGTAGAGCTGCACACAGAGGACTGTCAGACTGTACACAGAGGACTGTCAGACTGCACACAGAGGACTGTAGAGCTGCACACAGAGGACTGTCAGACTGTACACAGAGGACTGTCAGACTGCACACAGAGGACTGTAGAGCTGCACACAGAGGACTGTCAGACTGTACACAGAGGACTGTAGAGCTGCACACAGAGGACTGTCAGACTGTACACAGAGGACTGTCAGACTGCACACAGAGGACTGTAGAGCTGCACACAGAGGACTGTCAGACTGTACACAGAGGACTGTAGAGCTGCACACAGGCCTGGATTGTGGCGCTCGGTGTTGTCTTTAGTTTTCTGGGTGTTTTTCTTTCCCCCGAGGAGCAGGCGTCTGACTCCGAGAATGGATTCATGGAGAATATTTGGAACATGAGCACAAACTAAATGAACGAGAAAATAAAAAACCCACAGTAAAAGTTTTATCTGTCTTCTGCAATTACCACTAATTATTTTTGGAAAAACTTGGAAAGTGAAACGTTTTTGGTCTGATGGTCACTAATCCGGCAGAAACGACACAAGCTTCTTTAAAAAACAATTATCAAAACAAAATCATAATGGGATAGTGCAGTTAGAACTTTGATGTTTATACACAGCTAACACATTTTAGGGATAGAAAAAAATATATTGTTATAATAAGTTCATGGTTTGACTTTTGTGCAGAACAAAAGCGTTTCTTCTGTTTCACGTCGAGGACAAAAATCCTGACGATATTTTGGAAACTTTAAAACCTTTGGAAACTTTCACTTGTAATGAGCGACTTTTAAAACTTTTGAGGCGACTTCTATTGTGATTTAGAGCAATAAGAATACATTGGATTGAACTGAAGGTCGTGGGTTCGATCCCACCATGAGACTTTCCCCACTGACTCCCACTGATGTCTGCTGTCGTCGTGTCCTTGGGCAAGACACTTAACCCACTTTGCCTGAAGCCCCTGCTGACAGATCAGGGCTGGAGAAGAAGATGGATCAGATTGAAAGTATTGGTTCAACTTTTCTGATGGTCTTTTTGACGGCTGTGTTGTGTGTTAGAGGTTGCCGTAGTAACCAGACTGAAACCTTGTCTTCCGTTTGTCCAACTTCTCCAACTAATAAACTTCTCCTAAACATAATTACAGCTGATTCTGAAGCTTTCACGCCCATGTACTCTACACGTGGCTCGTGGCCGTTTAGTTTCAGCGACAGAAGAAGATGAGCTTCTTCTATGAGTGGAGTTCAAAGTGTTTTGTTTCCAGTATTTTTGGAAGCATAAAGAGGAAGCCTGTGAATAAAACATGAGCATGAATCCTGCAGCAGGAGTTCGTTGGAGGCTCGAGGCTTTAAACACATCTTTAAATGTGTGTTAGTCACAGTTCCACCTCAGAGCGGTGTCACTGCGGATCAATAATTCACCATCAGCTCCACACGTGACAAACTGAGGAGAACCTTTCAATTACTGACTTTTATTTTTGTTGCACTGGGTCTTACAACACATGAAGAAGAGAGTTTACAAAGCACATCCTCGATCAAAATGAAAATGAAAGGAAACACGGACGCCTTCTTCTGAACCTTTGTTACTACTGTATTATCGTTTCTGTTAGAACACATGATTGGTGCAGGATTAGCATGATGCACTGTAAAAAATGCTAATGAAATATTATGAAAAACAGGTGAAGCCAAAAACACCAGGGTCTATCTGTGACTGGAGTTCAGATCACCGCCACACAAAGCACTTTACTGTGATTAGTTTGTTTAGTTGCATTGTCACAACTGTATTCCACACATTACGCACAAATCTAAATGTTTTTTGTTATAGATTTTTGTTCATAGACTGTTGCAAGTGTAAAACAAAATGCTTTAGACAAGATTTATAAGTATTTAATTGTGTCGATCCAATGTTCTTAATTGTTTTTATTAGAATAAGTCCAGGAAGGTCGGCTCATAACAAAGACAGAAGTGAACTCGTGTAGACCCAAAGTGAAGCGTTCTAAGTCACGACTGTAGAATCCTCTTCTCCATAAAGAACTACGCTTTTGAAACCAATCCAAGGTTTGCGTCGTGTTGCCATAGCGACAGAGATGCGACAGAGATGCGACTGAAGCGCTTCTGTCGAGGTCAGTAAAGAATCAGTGCCTTCCACACCTCGGGCTCACACAAGTTTATTCTTAGATGCACCAGGATTCATTCTGTTAGTCGCAGTTAGAGCAGGTTTTAAACAAGAAAAGACAAAAACAGTTTCTGGCCTTTGTTCAGTTTCAGCTTTGTTCTATCTCTAGTTTTCACATTCTCACAAACTCACAGAGATCTTTCTCAGTGTGCAAGATGAGGAGGAGGTGCAGCAGGAGAAGGAGAAGATGCAGCAGGAGAAGGAGGAGGTGCAGCAGGAGAAGGAGGAGGTGCAGCAGGAGAAGGAGGAGGTGCAGCAGGAGAAGGAGGAGGTGCAGCAGTGCAGCAGGAGAAGGAGAAGATGCAGCAGGAGAAGGAGGAGGTGCAGCAGTGCAGCAGGAGAAGGAGCAGCAGGAGAAGGTGCCCGCAGGAGAAGGAGAAGGTGCAGCAGGAGAAGGAGGAGGTGCAACAGGAGAAGGAGGAGGTGCAGCAGTGCAGCAGGAGAAGGAGAAGGTGCAGCAGGAGAAGGAGAAGGTGCCCGCAGGAGAAGGAGAAGGTGCAGCAGGAGAAGGAGAAGGTGCAGCAGGAGAAGGAGAAGGTGCAGCAGGAGAAGGAGAAGGTGCCCGCAGGAGAAGGAGAAGGTGCAGCAGGAGAAGGAGAAGGTGCAGCAGGAGAAGGAGAAGGTGCCCGCAGGAGAAGGAGGAGGTGCAGCAGGAGAAGGAGAAGGTGCCCGCAGGAGAAGGAGAAGGTGCAGCAGGAGAAGGAGAAGGTGCAGCAGGAGAAGGAGAAGGTGCCCGCAGGAGAAGGAGAAGGTGCAGCAGGAGAAGGAGAAGGTGCCCGCAGGAGAAGGAGAAGGTGCAGCAGGAGAAGGAGAAGGTGCAGCAGGAGAAGGAGAAGGTGCAGCAGGAGAAGGAGAAGGTGCCCGCAGGAGAAGGAGAAGGTGCAGCAGGAGAAGGAGAAGGTGCCCGCAGGAGAAGGAGGAGGTGCAGCAGGAGAAGGAGGAGGTGCAGCAGGAGAAAGAGGAGGTGCAGCAGGAGAAAGAGGAGGTGCAGCAGGAGGAGGAGTGATGAGAGGGGAGAGGAGCGGCCGCTGTCGTTCATTCAAAGAAAAGAAAGAAGAAGAAAAGCGCTGAGGGTTCTGGATGAACTTCAAACACGATCACTGCAGTGAGCTCAGCGAGGCACAGGGGAACCGGGGGACACAGGAGGCACGGGGGAACCGGGGGACACAGGGGAACCGGGGGACACGGGGGGAACCGGGGGACAGGGGTACGGGAGACATGGAGGAACCGGGGGTACGGGGGACAAGGAGGAACCAATGGGGACGGGGGCTTGACTGATGCGTCATATTTGTGCAAACGTGAAGACGTCATGGTGCAGCGGGAATCCGTTTGCACTGATGAAGAACGATGTGACTTTTCCCACAGACATTTTTTTTATCATAAATATTGTTGTTAAATAATGAAGTTTCCACGATGTGGATTTGAAAAACCCTCAGAGGAGATTGTGACGCATAAAGCTTCAAGTGGAACCTAACGTGTGTGCAGAAGGTGATACGTTTATGACAAAAACTAACCCCGCGGCACCGCTCGGTCCAAACCCACTTTTTAAACATCTGTGCTTCATATTAAAAATTGGTGCCTTTTTATACTTGGATGTGACGTCACTTTGGTGAGCTCCTCTTTCTCCTGATGAGGATAATAACAAAAAAACTTTACGCATAAGAATAAAATAAATGTTGTTAATGTGTGAAAATGATTCAAGTCAAAGCAAAAGCAGTTGAAAAATAGATTATTATAGATTATTATAGATTATTATAGATTATTATAGGTTGCGCACGGCTCGGATGCTGCCCCTCTGCGCGCACTATAGACCTGTGCCACTTTACGCACAGAATCACATGGATCTTTATAAGGGTTTGTCCATATTCGTGGCACACTTTACGCACAGACCTGTAAACGCCGTGCGCGGTGCTTTCGGCTGCTGCGTGATCACATCGATGTGTCCACAGGCGACACGGGACAAACCTGTCTGACTCATGCACAAGGAAGTGACAGTTTCTCTGCAACTAAAACATGACACTCAACCCAAACATGTGGAAAAGGACGCACAGGTACCAAAGATGTGGAAAAGGAAGCACAGGTACTTACTGAAGAGTCCCGGTAGCGGCGAGAAACAATGGTTTAAATCCAAAACCTTGGTCCTGTTTGTAAATCCTCAACTGGACTTTTTCACCTAAAAGTTAGTTTAATAAAAGTCAGATCCACGTCTCTGGGTTCGGGTCCCGATCCGCTGATGATGAAGATGATGATGATGACCAAAAACCCAGAACTTGTCTTCAACTAAATCCACAGCTGCAGTCCAGGTCCAGGCGCACGGACCATCCTCTGAGCGCGGGGAGCGGCGTGGACTGGACACGCAAAGTGGACAAGCAGAGTGGACACGCAGACTGGTCACGCAGAGTGGACAGAGTGGACACGCAGACTGGTCACGCAGACTGGTCACGCAGACTGGTCACGCAGTGGCGCGTGGAGGGGTCTGTGTCGTGAGCACGAGCGGAGCGTGTTGTCACGGATCAGCCTGGTGCTCTGTGGCTCTGCTCCGCTGCGCACAGTGAAGTAGAGCCGCCGCTGGAACCGCGCAGCAGCGGGAGCGCGCAGAAGCGGGAGTGCGCACGCGTGCACTTCCGCTAAGGTGCGACAGAATAAAGGCGCGCGTGGAGGGAGACCCCGTGAAGCAGAAGGGACACGTCACATCTCGCCGTCTGAATGTTATGGATAACAGATCAATATATCTGCTTTTAGTATATATTTTTATTTGTTTTACTTAATGATTGAGAGAATCTTCCCACTTTGGCGTTCAGGCCACGTGCGCTTTTATTGTGAAGTCTTCTTTCCACTGAGCAGGAGTTTGTGCCCGCTGCTCTGTGTCTGTGGGACGCACACGCACACACACGCACGTAGACACACGCACACACACACGCACGCTCACGTCAGACTTGGGGGGGGGGGGGTCACATTACGGTACATCGCCCCCCGGGCCTGCAGCGTGAGACGCGGTCCAAGCTCCTACAAACACATTGTCCGTTTTTGAAAAGTGTAAAAAAGATTCTATTGTCAAAATCATGATGCTTATTAAAATAGACACGTTACACAGCCAACTTTTAAGTATTATATAAAGGATTATATACAGGGGCATTATTTTAAAGGAATATATTTGTTTTCCCAAAGTCTTTCCCAGAGTAACAGATCAGAGCATTCGCTTCTATGAGAACAAAAAAACAGGAATCCACATTCTCCAAATGGTCAAAGACACTACAATCATGTGGATCTTATATTTCTGAACAAACATGTATTCAAATGTATTAGAAAAGAACAATAATGATATAGTGGTTAATCCAGGATGATTAATAATAATAAATTATAGCACTAATGACGCTCACTTGATCAGCTCAATAAAGAAAATGTTTAAAACCCTCAAAAACAAAATGACTAAAGTGGTTTCAACTCTAAAGTCATCAGTCCTTTGTCCTAAATCTTTAAGTCATAAAAGATCCTCCTCAAACTAACGAGACAGTTTGAGTGAATGACTGTGAAATGATCTTTAAAGAGTGAAATGATCTTTAAAGAGTGAAACGATCTTTAAAGAAACGATCTTTAAAGAGTGCGAGTGCAGGACAGACCTTTCCAAACAACATCCATTACCTTTGTGTCATAAAGTGATTTTAGTTGCACTTTTATGACGCCATAAAGCGGTTTGGTGCTGAGCTGGGAGAGGAGAGGGTCCTGTCCCGGCGGTGGGTCCAGGACCAGAGGGACCGGGGTGATTTGTGACGTAAACAACATCCACGTGCCGTAAACGACCGTAAATCAGAGCGAGCGGGATCAGACTTCACCAATTAGTGTTGACTTTGACTCTGGGTTTATGACTGTCTGTGGAAGACTCTGGGTTTATGACTGTCTGTGGAAGACTCTGGGTTTATGACTGTCTGTGGAAGACTCTGGGTTTATGACTGTCTGTGGAAGACTCTGGGTTTATGACTGTCTGTGGAAGACTCTGGGTTTATGACTGTCTGTGGAAGACTCTGGGTTTATGACTGTCTGTGGAAGACTCTGGGTTTATGACTGTCTGTGGAAGACTCTGGGTTTATGACTGTCTGTGGAAGACTCTGGGTTTATGACTGTCTGTGGAAGACTCTGGGTTTATGACTGTCTGTGGAAGACTCTGGGTTTATGACTGTCTGTGGAAGACTCTGGGTTTATGACTGTCTGTGGAAGACTCTGGGTTTATGACTGTCTGTAGAAGACTCTGGGTTTATGACTGTCTGTGGAAGACTCTGGGTTTATGACTGTCTGTAGAAGACTCTGGGTTTATGACTGTCTGTGGAAGACTCTGGGTTTATGACTGTCTGTGGAAGACTCTGGGTTTATGACTGTCTGTGGAAGACTCTGGGTTTATGACTGTCTGTGGAAGACTCTGGGTTTATGACTGTCTGTGGAAGACTCTGGGTTTATGACTGTCTGTGGAAGACTCTGGGTTTATGACTGTCTGTAGAAGACTCTGGGTTTATGACTGTCTGTGGAAGACTCTGGGTTTATGACTGTCTGTAGAAGACTCTGGGTTTATGACTGTCTGTAGAAGACTCTGGGTTTATGACTGTCTGTGGAAGACTCTGGGTTTATGACTGTCTGTAGAAGACTCTGGGTTTATGACTGTCTGTGGAAGACTCTGGGTTTATGACTGTCTGTGGAAGACTCTGGGTTTATGACTGTCTGTGGAAGACTCTGGGTTTATGACTGTCTGTGGAAGACTCTGGGTTTATGACTGTCTGTAGAAGACTCTGGGTTTATGACTGTCTGTGGAAGACTCTGGGTTTATGACTGTCTGTAGAAGACTCTGGGTTTATGACTGTCTGTGGAAGACTCTGGGTTTATGACTGTCTGTGGAAGACTCTGGGTTTATGACTGTCTGTGGAAGACTCTGGGTTTATGACTGTCTGTGGAAGACTCTGGGTTTATGACTGTCTGTAGAAGACTCTGGGTTTATGACTGTCTGTGGAAGACTCTGGGTTTATGACTGTCTGTAGAAGACTCTGGGTTTATGACTGTCTGTAGAAGACTCTGGGTTTATGACTGTCTGTGGAAGACTCTGGGTTTATGACTGTCTGTAGAAGACTCTGGGTTTATGACTGTCTGTGGAAGACTCTGGGTTTATGACTGTCTGTGGAAGACTCTGGGTTTATGACTGTCTGTGGAAGACTCTGGGTTTATGACTGTCTGTGGAAGACTCTGGGTTTATGACTGTCTGTAGAAGACTCTGGGTTTATGACTGTCTGTGGAAGACTCTGGGTTTATGACTGTCTGTAGAAGACTCTGGGTTTATGACTGTCTGTGGAAGACTCTGGGTTTATGACTGTCTGTGGAAGACTCTGGGTTTATGACTGTCTGTGGAAGACTCTGGGTTTATGACTGTCTGTGGAAGACTCTGGGTTTATGACTGTCTGTAGAAGACTCTGGGTTTATGACTGTCTGTGGAAGACTCTGGGTTTATGACTGTCTGTAGAAGACTCTGGGTTTATGACTGTCTGTGGAAGACTCTGGGTTTATGACTGTCTGTAGAAGACTCTGGGTTTATGACTGTCTGTGGAAGACTCTGGGTTTATGACTGTCTGTGGAAGACTCTGGGTTTATGACTGTCTGTAGAAGACTCTGGGTTTATGACTGTCTGTAGAAGACTCTGGGTTTATGACTGTCTGTGGAAGACTCTGGGTTTATGACTGTCTGTAGAAGACTCTGGGTTTATGACTGTCTGTGGAAGACTCTGGGTTTATGACTGTCTGTGGAAGACTCTGGGTTTATGACTGTCTGTGGAAGACTCTGGGTTTATGACTGTCTGTGGAAGACTCTGGGTTTATGACTGTCTGTAGAAGACTCTGGGTTTATGACTGTCTGTGGAAGACTCTGGGTTTATGACTGTCTGTAGAAGACTCTGGGTTTATGACTGTCTGTGGAAGACTCTGGGTTTATGACTGTCTGTGGAAGACTCTGGGTTTATGACTGTCTGTGGAAGACTCTGGGTTTATGACTGTCTGTGGAAGACTCTGGGTTTATGACTGTCTGTAGAAGACTCTGGGTTTATGACTGTCTGTGGAAGACTCTGGGTTTATGACTGTCTGTAGAAGACTCTGGGTTTATGACTGTCTGTGGAAGACTCTGGGTTTATGACTGTCTGTAGAAGACTCTGGGTTTATGACTGTCTGTGGAAGACTCTGGGTTTATGACTGTCTGTGGAAGACTCGGTTTATGACTGTCTGTGGAAGACTCTGGGTTTATGACTGTCTGTGGAAGACTCTGGGTTTATGACTGTCTGTAGAAGACTCTGGGTTTATGACTGTCTGTGGAAGACTCTGGGTTTATGACTGTCTGTAGAAGACTCTGGGTTTATGACTGTCTGTGGAAGACTCTGGGTTTATGACTGTCTGTGGAAGACTCTGGGTTTATGACTGTCTGTGGAAGACTCTGGGTTTATGACTGTCTGTGGAAGACTCTGGGTTTATGACTGTCTGTGGAAGACTCTGGGTTTATGACTGTCTGTGGAAGACTCTGGGTTTATGACTGTCTGTAGAAGACTCTGGGTTTATGACTGTCTGTGGAAGACTCTGGGTTTATGACTGTCTGTAGAAGACTCTGGGTTTATGACTGTCTGTAGAAGACTCGGGTTTTATGACTGTCTGTGGAAGACTCTGGGTTTATGACTGTCTGTAGAAGACTCTGGGTTTATGACTGTCTGTGGAAGACTCTGGGTTTATGACTGTCTGTGGAAGACTCTGGGTTTATGACTGTCTGTGGAAGACTCTGGGTTTATGACTGTCTGTGGAAGACTCTGGGTTTATGACTGTCTGTAGAAGACTCTGGGTTTATGACTGTCTGTGGAAGACTCTGGGTTTATGACTGTCTGTAGAAGACTCTGGGTTTATGACTGTCTGTGGAAGACTCTGGGTTTATGACTGTCTGTGGAAGACTCTGGGTTTATGACTGTCTGTAGAAGACTCTGGGTTTATGACTGTCTGTGGAAGACTCTGGGTTTATGACTGTCTGTAGAAGACTCTGGGTTTATGACTGTCTGTGGAAGACTCTGGGTTTATGACTGTCTGTGGAAGACTCTGGGTTTATGACTGTCTGTGGAAGACTCTGGGTTTATGACTGTCTGTAGAAGACTCTGGGTTTATGACTGTCTGTGGAAGACTCTGGGTTTATGACTGTCTGTGGAAGACTCTGGGTTTATGACTGTCTGTGGAAGACTCTGGGTTTATGACTGTCTGTGGAAGACTCTGGGTTTATGACTGTCTGTGGAAGACTCTGGGTTTATGACTGTCTGTGGAAGACTCTGGATCAATAAAAACTTAAACGCAGAGTTAAATGGTGTTGATTTGGTGATCCAAGGAATTCACTTATTTCAAACTAAAAAGGATCCATAATAAACCGGACTGATAAGGGGTTGGAAGAAGCGGACGCATTGTCAATGTGATCTCACGTGCCAGACTCAGATAGAACATGAACCTAAAACATACTGCAACATCACAAACAAAACAACTCTGAAGGTTTTATGTGAAATGTTCTGTAATATTTATTCACTTTGTGCTTTTACAAAACTTACATTATCAGTTCTTTATCGTCAACAACAAACAGTTTATTCAGGTGTGATGAGTTTGTAGTGAGACAAGATGGATGTGCCTGCAGAGACAGACCCCCACGGACCCCCACAGACCTCCCACGGACCTCCACGGACCCCCACGGACCCCCACGGACCCCCACAGACCTCCCACGGACCTCCACGGACCCCCACGGACCCCCACGGACCCCCACAGACCCCCACGGACCCCCACGAACCCCCACAGACCTCCCACGGACCCCCACGGACCCCCACGGACCTCCCACGGACCCCCACGGACCCCCACGAACCCCCACGGACCCCCACAGACCTCCCACGGACCCCCACGGACCTCCCACAGACCTCCACGGACCCCCACAGACCTCCCACGGACCCCCACGGACCCCCACGGACCCCCACAGACCTCCCACGGACCCCCACGGACCCCCACGGACCCCCACAGACCTCCCACGGACCCCCACGGACCCCCACGGACCCCCACAGACCTCCCACGGACCCCCACGGACCCCCACGGACCTCCCACGAACCCCCACGGACCCCCACAGACCTCCCACGGACCCCCACGGACCTCCCACAGACCTCCACGGACCCCCACGGACCCCCACAGACCTCCCACGGACCCCCACGGACCCCCACGGACCCCCACGAACCCCCACGGACCCCCACAGACCTCCCACGGACCCCCACGGACCTCCCACAGACCTCCACGGACCCCCACGAACCCCCACGGACCCCCACAGACCTCCCACGGACCCCCACGGACCTCCCACAGACCTCCCACGGACTGAGCTTTAGCAAATGTGTCCGGAATGAGAGGCGTGTGTAAAGATCGTTATAAGTGACGGATCGAACCAAAAGTGTTTCTTTAAATGTGTGGAGACGCAGAACATTGTTTCACAGTTTCTGTTCAGTCAAACAAACATATGGGTCCTATAGTCAAATATATCAATACACACTTTACACACACTTTACACACACTTTACACACACTTGATACACACTTTACACACACTTGATACACACTTTACACACACTTTACACACACTTGATACACTCTTTACACACACTTGATACACACTTTACACACACTTGATACACACTTTACACACACTTTACACACACTTTACACACACTTGATACACACTTTACACACACTTGATACACTCTTTACACACACTTGATACACACTTTACACACACTTGATACACACTTTACACACACTTGATACACACTTTACACACACTTTACACACACTTTACACACACTTTACACACACTTGATACACACTTTACACACACTTTACACACACTTGATACACTCTTTACACACACTTGATACACACTTTACACACACTTTACACACACTTGATACACACTTTACACACACTTGATACACACTTTACACACACTTTACACACACTTGATACACACTTTACACACACTTGATACACACTTTACACACACTTTACACACACTTGATACACACTTTACACACACTTGATACACACTTTACACACACTTGATACACACTTTACACACACTTGATACACACTTTACACACACTTTACACACACTTGATACACTCTTTACACACACTTGATACACACTTTACACACACTTGATACACACTTTACACACACTTTACACACACTTTACACACACTTGATACACACTTTACACACACTTGATACACTCTTTACACACACTTGATACACACTTTACACACACTTGATACACACTTTACACACACTTGATACACACTTTACACACACTTTACACACACTTTACACACACTTTACACACACTTGATACACACTTTACACACACTTTACACACACTTGATACACTCTTTACACACACTTGATACACACTTTACACACACTTTACACACACTTGATACACACTTTACACACACTTGATACACACTTTACACACACTTTACACACACTTGATACACACTTTACACACACTTGATACACACTTTACACACACTTTACACACACTTGATACACACTTTACACACACTTGATACACACTTTACACACACTTGATACACACTTTACACACACTTGATACACACTTTACACACACTGTACACACACTTGATAAACACTTTACACACACTTGATACACACTTTACACACACTTTACACACACTTGATACACACTTTACACACACTTGATACACACTTTACACACACTTGATACACACTTTACACAAACTTTACACACACTTGATACACACTTTACACACACTTGATACACACTTTACACAAACTTTACATACACTTTACACACACTTGATACACACTTTACACACACTTTACACACACTTGATATACACTTTACACACACTTGATACACACTTTACACACACTTGATACACACTTTACACACACTTGATACACACTTTACACACACTTGATACACACTTTACACACACTTGATACACACTTTACACAAACTTTACACACACTTGATACACACTTTACACACACTTTACACACACTTGATACACACTTTACACACACTTGATACACACTTTACACACACTTGATACACACTTTACACACACTTGATACACACTTTACACACACTTGATACACACTTTACACACACTTGATACACACTTTACACACACAGATGATAATGAGATGGAAACACAGTCGTCAGCTCATACTGGTTTATGGTGTGTCCTCGTTAACTACATGAATATAAATTGGGAAAATACTTCATTAGTTGGTGTTTATGTGAATTGAGTGGCCCATGGACACAGGAGGACACACAACAGGTGTGGCCTGTACACAACAACAACATGCTAACCTCACAATAATCCATAATTTTAAGCTTCATGGATCAAACCATTTTTACATAAAATATGATCCTTTTTAATGATTTGTGTGTGTGTCACTGCCCGGTATATTAATTATATGTGTGTGTGTGTGTATTAATTATATGTGTGTGTGTGTGTGTATGTGTGTGTGTGTATTAATTATATGTGTGTGTGTGTCACTGCCCGGTATATTAATTATATGTGTGTGTGTGTGTGTGTGTGTGTGTATTAATTATGTGTGTGTGTGTATATTAATTATATATATGTGTGTGTGTGTATATTAATTATATATATGTGTGTGTGTGTGTATTAATTATATGTGTGTGTATATTAATTATATGTGTGTGTGTGTATATTAATTATATATGTGTGTGTGTGTGTATTAATATGTGTGTGTGTGTGTGTATATTAATATGTGTGTGTGTGTATATTAATTATATGTGTGTGTGTGTGTGTGTGTATTAATTATGTGTGTGTGTGTATATTAATTATATGTGTGTGTGTGTATATTAATTATATGTGTGTGTGTGTGTATTAATTATGTGTGTGTGTGTGTATATTAATTATGTATATATATGTGTGTGTATATTAATATTATGAATGTATGTCAAAAAGAAGTAAGTATGAGGAGGAAGGAGAGTGATAAGTTCAGCTCAGAGCGAGAGGGAGGCTGTAGGGTCAGTGAGTGTTTTGGTCCTGTGTCTGTGTGAATAAGTGCATTTGTGAGTGTCTTGGTCTTATCTTGTCTCATGCCACTGGTGTTATGTGTGTGTGTGTGTGTGCGTGTGAGTGTGCGTGTGCGTGCGTGTGTGTGTGTGTGTGTGCATGTGTGTGTGTGCGTGTGAGTGTGCGTGCGTGTGTGCATGTGTGTGCGTGTGCGTGCGTGTGTGTGTGTGTGTGCATGTGTGTGTGTGTGTGTGTGCGTGTTTGAAATTAACATTGTTTTATTTTCTTTCACAGAAGTGAAGGTGGAGCATCTGTCTGATGGGAAAGCACCGGCAGAACCAACATTGATGAAGTCTGAGGAGGAGGAGGATGATGAAGGTCGTGCTCGCCGCCCTGGATTGTGTGAGAACTAAAGACTCCCGGTCAGTGTGTGTGTGTGTGTGTGTGTGTGTGTGGAGAGGTCAGTGTGTGTGTGTGTGTGTGTGTGTGTGTGGAGAGGTCAGTGTGTGTGTGTGTGTGTGTGTGTGTGTGTGTGTGTGTGTGCAGAGGTCAGTGTGTGTGGGGCGAGAGGTCAGGCAGAGGGCCGCCGTGGTGATGCAGTACTGCTGGTACACTGACCACATGACCCCAGTACAAATACTCACTCATGTCGGGAGAAACAACAGACCTGACCCCCCCTCCCACAGGCACGGGGGAGTCTTTTCATTAAACACTCTACTTTCTCAAGGATTGAGTTGTCACATTTTCAACTTCAGACAAACGCTGCAGACCTTCGAGGACATACCTCCTCCAGTCCCTAAATGTCCAAAATCACTAAATGTCCAAAATCACTAAATGTCATTTCAAATGTTCAGAAAGATCAGATCATGGGAAACTTGTCTGTCACTTCTCCCAAATGTACCTAGTGCTGTGGTGTTCATGTTTGCAGACTAACCCTAACCCTGTGGGTCACGTTATAGAAATGAACACTTTTCAAACAGCTGTGGTACCAGTAAGAACAAGCCCGTTACAGCTGAAGGCCAAAGCTACTGAGCTGCTGACTGTCTTCATGGTGTAAAACTCTGTGTGTCTCTGTAAAATCAATACAATGTCTTCTGCCTGGGACGCGACCCCAGACCGATCCACATCTTATCTCATTTTCAACAGAATTGGTGAAGGATGCAGGCACTGTCAGAGGAACCAACATCTACAGCAGAAGATGTTTTCTTTACTATTTGGTGCTTTTCAGGACACTCAAAGTCTCTTCACATGTGTCATTATTCATTCACTCCAAACACGGTGGTGGTCTCTGTTTGGGGCAGTGATGACCCGGTCGGTCTCACCTCTGGTCTCTCTGTTTGGGGCAGTGATGACCCGGTCGGTCTCTCCTCTGGTCTCTCTGTTTGGGGCAGTGATGACCCGGTCGGTCTCTCCTCTGGTCTCTCTGTTTGGGGCAGTGATGACCCGGTCGGTCACTCCTCTGGTCTCTCTGTTTGGGGCAGTGATGACCCGGTCGGTCTCACCTCTGGTCTCTCTGTTTTGGGCAGTGATGACCCCGGTCGGTCTCACCTCTGGTCTCTCTGTTTGGGGCAGTGATGACCCGGTCGGTCTCACCTCTGGTCTCTCTGTTTGGGGCAGTGATGACCCGGTCGGTCTCACCTCTGGTCTCTCTGTTTTGGGCACTGATGACCCGGTCGGTCTCACCTCTGGTCTCTCTGTTTGGGGCAGTGATGACCCGGTCGGTCTCTCCTCTGGTCTCTCTGTTTGGGGCAGTGATGACCCGGTCGGTCTCACCTCTGGTCTCTCTGTTTGGGGCACTGATGACCCGGTCGGTCTCTCCTCTGGTCTCTCTGTTTGGGGCAGTGATGACCCGGTCGGTCTCTCCTCTGGTCTCTCTGTTTGGGGCAGTGATGACCCGGTCGGTCTCTCCTCTGGTCTCTCTGTTTGGGGCAGTGATGACCCGGTCGGTCTCACCTCTGGTCTCTCTGTTTGGGGCAGTGATGACCCGGTCGGTCTCACCTCTGGTCTCTCTGTTTGGGGCAGTGATGACCCGGTCGGTCTCTCCTCTGGTCTCTCTGTTTTGGGCACTGATGACCCGGTCGGTCTCACCTCTGGTCTCTCTGTTTGGGGCAGTGATGACCCGGTCGGTCTCACCTCTGGTCTCTCTGTTTGGGGCAGTGATGACCCGGTCGGTCTCTCCTCTGGTCTCTCTGTTTTGGGCACTGATGACCCGGTCGGTCTCACCTCTGGTCTCTCTGTTTGGGGCAGTGATGACCCGGTCGGTCTCTCCTCTGGTCTCTCTGTTTTGGGCACTGATGACCCGGTCGGTCTCACCTCTGGTCTCTCTGTTTGGGGCAGTGATGACCCGGTCGGTCTCTCCTCTGGTCTCTCTGTTTTGGGCACTGATGACCCGGTCGGTCTCACCTCTGGTCTCTCTGTTTGGGGCAGTGATGACCCGGTCGGTCTCACCTCTGGTCTCTCTGTTTGGGGCAGTGATGACCCGGTCGGTCTCACCTCTGGTCTCTCTGTTTGGGGCAGTGATGACCCGGTCGGTCTCTCCTCTGGTCTCTCTGTTTGGGGCAGTGATGACCCGGTCGGTCTCACCTCTGGTCTCTCTGTTTGGGACACTGATGACCCGGTCGGTCTCACCTCTGGTCTCTCTGTTTGGGGCAGTGATGACCCGGTCGGTCTCACCTCTGGTCTCTCTGTTTGGGGCACTGATGACCCGGTCGGTGTCACCTCTGGTCTCTCTGTTTGGGGCAGTGATGACCCGGTCGGTCTCACCTCTGGTCTCTCTGTTTGGGGCAGTGATGACCCGGTCGGTCACTCCTCTGGTCTCTCTGTTTGGGGCAGTGATGACCCGGTCGGTCTCACCTCTGGTCTCTCTGTTTGGGGCAGTGATGACCCGGTCGGTCTCTCCTCTGGTCTCTCTGTTTGGGGCAGTGATGACCCGGTCGGTCTCACCTCTGGTCTCTCTGTTTGGGGCACTGATGACCCGGTCGGTCTCACCTCTGGTCTCTCTGTTTGGGGCACTGATGACCCGGTCGGTGTCACCTCTGGTCTCTCTGTTTGGGGCAGTGATGACCCGGTCGGTCTCACCTCTGGTCTCTCTGTTTGGGGCAGTGATGACCCGGTCGGTCACTCCTCTGGTCTCTCTGTTTGGGGCAGTGATGACCCGTCGGTCTCACCTCTGGTCTCTCTGTTTTGGGCACTGATGACCCGGTCGGTCTCACCTCTGGTCTCTCTGTTTGGGGCAGTGATGACCCGGTCGGTCTCTCCTCTGGTCTCTCTGTTTGGGGCAGTGATGACCCGGTCGGTCACTCCTCTGGTCTCTCTGTTTGGGGCAGTGATGACCCGGTCGGTCTCACCTCTGGTCTCTCTGTTTTGGGCAGTGATGACCCGGTCGGTCTCACCTCTGGTCTCTCTGTTTGGGGCAGTGATGACCCGGTCGGTCTCACCTCTGGTCTCTCTGTTTGGGGCAGTGATGACCCGGTCGGTCTCACCTCTGGTCTCTCTGTTTTGGGCACTGATGACCCGGTCGGTCTCACCTCTGGTCTCTCTGTTTGGGGCAGTGATGACCCGGTCGGTCTCTCCTCTGGTCTCTCTGTTTGGGGCAGTGATGACCCGGTCGGTCTCACCTCTGGTCTCTCTGTTTGGGGCACTGATGACCCGGTCGGTCTCTCCTCTGGTCTCTCTGTTTGGGGCAGTGATGACCCGGTCGGTCTCACCTCTGGTCTCTCTGTTTGGGGCAGTGATGACCCGGTCGGTCTCTCCTCTGGTCTCTCTGTTTGGGGCAGTGATGACCCGGTCGGTCTCACCTCTGGTCTCTCTGTTTGGGGCAGTGATGACCCGGTCGGTCTCTCCTCTGGTCTCTCTGTTTGGGGCAGTGATGACCCGGTCGGTCTCTCCTCTGGTCTCTCTGTTTGGGGCAGTGATGACCCGGTCGGTCTTTGGGACGTCCCGAGTGAGGGATGAGCTCATGTTGTCTTTGAGCGGACTCTGGACAGGGACGAATCATAAACACAGGGATTATTCATGAGACAAAGATGGAGCACAAAGGGACAGGATCAGAGAGGGTGCTTCACTGTCTCCTGGAGTCACTCATGTCCCACAGGAGGTGTTGGGTTCCAATCTCACTACATGACACTGACGGTGGTCACATGTGTTCTACAGATATTTTTGGGGCCCCACTGATAAGCTAGATAATATAAGATTATCCGTCCCACAGTGGGGAAATTCCATTGTTGCAGTGCACAGACAGGACAGCAGTAGATGGGTGGTGGTTAGCACTCTTTGCTCCTGTCTCTATGATGTCTGAGGATATGCTAAACCATAGACATCAACAGCTCATGAACACAAACAGAAGACACATAAAAGACACATTTGTGTGTGATGGCAGCATCTGTGGACAATGTTTAAACCTGGATAAAAAGATGTCCCTGTGCCGTTGTCATGACAACCAGACATGTTTCCTCTTAACCTGCTTTTGGAGAGAGCCATGTGTCTGATGTCACTTCAAACGCTGTGGACAAAACAGAAAAACAACACACAGCATTATTAACCAACGACTTCTGAACAGATTCAAACAAACAGAAAATAGATTTACACCAGCGTCGTTACTCGTTATGCAAATGTAACGTGTGGTTTCTGCCTCATGTGCTGTAGGAGAGGAGCTCTGACAACATGTGACTGATCCCAAGCTGGGGGGCAGGGTCCTGTTGTCGTACCCCCAGGACATGTGCCTTAATATCTCCTCCAACCAAAGTGTTCCGGACCGACCGGACCTCGGCCTCTGGAGACCGGTCCTGGTCTCTGGGGACCGGTCCTGGTCTCTGCAGCTGCAGCGACTGATTTACTGATGATACTGAGACCAAGTGGCGTTGGAAGGATGTCACATGTTTCAGACATGTTAGTCTCTCTCACAGAAGTCTCTCTCACAGAAGTCTCTCTCACAGATGTCTCTCTCACAGAAGTCTCTCTCACAGATGTCTCTCTCACAGAAGTCTCTCTCACAGATGTCTCTCTCACAGATGTCTCTCTCACAGATGTCTCTCTCACAGAAGTCTCTCTCACAGATGTCTCTCTCACAGAAGTCTCTCTCACAGATGTCTCTCTCACAGAAGTCTCTCTCACAGATGTCTCTCTCACAGATGTCTCTCTCACAGATGTCTCTCTCACAGAAGTCTCTCTCACAGATGTCTCTCTCACAGAAGTCTCTCTCACAGAAGTCTCTCTCACAGAAGTCTCTCTCACAGAAGTCTCTCTCACAGAAGTCTCTCTCACAGATGTCTCTCTCACAGATGTCTTTCTCACAGAAGTCTCTCTCACAGATGTCTCTCTCACAGAAGTCTCTCTCACAGAAGTCTCTCTCACAGATGTCTCTCTCACAGAAGTCTCTCTCACAGAAGTCTCTCTCACAGAAGTCTCTCTCACAGATGTCTCTCTCACAGAAGTCTCTCTCACAGATGTCTCTCTCACAGATGTCTCTCTCACAGAAGTCTCTCTCACAGAAGTCTCTCTCACAGAAGTCTCTCTCACAGATGTCTCTCTCACAGAAGTCTCTCTCACAGATGTCTCTCTCACAGATGTCTCTCTCACAGATGTCTCTCTCACAGAAGTCTCTCTCACAGATGTCTCTCTCACAGAAGTCTCTCTCACAGATGTCTCTCTCACAGATGTCTCTCTCACAGATGTCTCTCTCACAAAAGTCTCTCTCACAGAAGTCTCTCTCACAGAAGTCTCTCTCACAGAAGTCTCTCTCACAGATGTCTCTCTCACAGAAGTCTCTCTCACAGAAGTCTCTCTCACAGAAGTCTCTCTCACAGATGTCTCTCTCACAGATGTCTCTCTCACAGAAGTCTCTCTCACAGAAGTCTCTCTCACAGATGTCTCTCTCACAGAAGTCTCTCTCACAGAAGTCTCTCTCACAGAAGTCTCTCTCACAGAAGTCTCTCTCACAGAAGTCTCTCTCACAGAAGTCTCTCTCACAGAAGTCTCTCTCACAGATGTCTCTCTCACAGAAGTCTCTCTCACAGAAGTCTCTCTCACAGATGTCTCTCTCACAGAAGTCTCTCTCACAGAAGTCTCTCTCACAGAAGTCTCTCTCACAGAAGTCTCTCTCACAGATGTCTCTCTCACAGATGTCTCTCTCACAGAAGTCTCTCTCACAGATGTCTCTCTCACAGATGTCTCTCTCACAGAAGTCTCTCTCACAGAAGTCTCTCTCACAGATGTCTCTCTCACAGAAGTCTCTCTCACAGATGTCTCTCTCACAGAAGTCTCTCTCACAGAAGTCTCTCTCACAGAAGTCTCTCTCACAGAAGTCTCTCTCACAGATGTCTCTCTCACAGATGTCTTTCTCACAAAAGTCTCTCTCACAGAAGTCTCTCTCACAGATGTCTCTCTCACAGATGTCTCTCTCACAGAAGTCTCTCTCACAGAAGTCTCTCTCACAGAAGTCTCTCTCACAAAAGTCTCTCTCACAGAAGTCTCTCTCACAGATGTCTCTCTCACAGATGTCTCTCTCACAGATGTCTCTCTCACAGATGTCTCTCTCACAGAAGTCTCTCTCACAGAAGTCTCTCTCACAGAAGTCTCTCTCACAGATGTCTCTCTCACAGATGTCTCTCTCACAGAAGTCTCTCTCACAGAAGTCTCTCTCACAGATGTCTCTCTCACAGAAGTCTCTCTCACAGATCTCTCTCACAGAAGTCTCTCTCACAGAAGTCTCTCTCACAGAAGTCTCTCTCACAGAAGTCTCTCTCACAGAAGTCTCTCTCACAGATGTCTCTCTCACAGATGTCTTTCTCACAAAAGTCTCTCTCACAGAAGTCTCTCTCACAGATGTCTCTCTCACAGAAGTCTCTCTCACAGAAGTCTCTCTCACAGAAGTCTCTCTCACAGAAGTCTCTCTCACAGATGTCTCTCTCACAGATGTCTCTCTCACAGAAGTCTCTCTCACAGATGTCTCTCTCACAGAAGTCTCTCTCACAGAAGTCTCTCTCACAGATGTCTCTCTCACAGATGTCTCTCTCACAGAAGTCTCTCTCACAGAAGTCTCTCTCACAGATGTCTCTCTCACAGAAGTCTCTCTCACAGAAGTCTCTCTCACAGAAGTCTCTCTCACAGAAGTCTCTCTCACAGATGTCTCTCTCACAGATGTCTCTCTCACAGAAGTCTCTCTCACAGATGTCTCTCTCACAGAAGTCTCTCTCACAGAAGTCTCTCTCACAGATGTCTCTCTCACAGAAGTCTCTCTCACAGATGTCTCTCTCACAGAAGTCTCTCTCACAGAAGTCTCTCTCACAGATGTCTCTCTCACAGATGTCTCTCTCACAGATGTCTCTCTCACAGAAGTCTCTCTCACAGAAGTCTCTCTCACAGATGTCTCTCTCACAGAAGTCTCTCTCACAGAAGTCTCTCTCACAGAAGTCTCTCTCACAGAAGTCTCTCTCACAGATGTCTCTCTCACAGATGTCTCTCTCACAGAAGTCTCTCTCACAGAAGTCTCTCTCACAGAAGTCTCTCTCACAGATGTCTCTCTCACAGAAGTCTCTCTCACAGAAGTCTCTCTCACAGAAGTCTCTCTCACAGAAGTCTCTCTCACAGAAGTCTCTCTCACAGATGTCTCTCTCACAGAAGTCTCTCTCACAGAAGTCTCTCTCACAGATGTCTCTCTCACAGATGTCTCTCTCACAGAAGTCTCTCTCACAGATGTCTCTCTCACAGATGTCTCTCTCACAGAAGTCTCTCTCACAGAAGTCTCTCTCACAGATGTCTCTCTCACAGAAGTCTCTCTCACAGAAGTCTCTCTCACAGATGTCTCTCTCACAGATGTCTCTCTCACAGATGTCTCTCTCACAGAAGTCTCTCTCACAGATGTCTCTCTCACAGAAGTCTCTCTCACAGAAGTCTCTCTCACAGAAGTCTCTCTCACAGATGTCTCTCTCACAGAAGTCTCTCTCACAGAAGTCTCTCTCACAGAAGTCTCTCTCACAGAAGTCTCTCTCACAGAAGTCTCTCTCACAGAAGTCTCTCTCACAGAAGTCTCTCTCACAGAAGTCTCTCTCACAGATGTCTCTCTCACAGAAGTCTCTCTCACAGAAGTCTCTCTCACAGATGTCTCTCTCACAGAAGTCTCTCTCACAGAAGTCTCTCTCACAGATGTCTCTCTCACAGATGTCTCTCTCACAGAAGTCTCTCTCACAGAAGTCTCTCTCACAGATGTCTCTCTCACAGATGTCTCTCTCACAGATGTCTCTCTCACAGATGTCTCTCTCACAGATGTCTCTCTCACAGAAGTCTCTCTCACAGAAGTCTCTCTCACAGAAGTCTCTCTCACAGATGTCTCTCTCACAGAAGTCTCTCTCACAGATGTCTCTCTCACAGAAGTCTCTCTCACAGATGTCTCTCTCACAGAAGTCTCTCTCACAGAAGTCAGAGAGAAGTCTTTTTGTTTGTTAATCTCAACCTGTCACTCTGACTTCTGCTGCTTCTGAGAAAAGGATAAATGTTCCAAACACAAACACAACAGACTCTAGAAAAGACTTTAAGGTTTAAGTTACACACCCAAATATATATTTACAAACATTAAAAATCTAATTTCCCTTTTTGTTGCATTGGCACCAGAAAGAGGAAGTTTTCATACATTTTCTACATTTTATTTCCAAGTTGTCCTGTGGCCAAAATAATAATCAATATGTAAAATATAAAATACACAATGGCACTAAAAATCTGACACATCCATCCATTTTCTTCATCAATATTCTAATGTTCTAATATATTAATATTCTAATAGTCTAATATATTAATATTCTAATATTCTAATATATAAATATTCTAATGTTCTAATATATTAATATTCTAATATTCTAATATATTAATATTCTAATATTCTAATATATTAATATTCTAATATATTAATATTCTAATATATTAATATTCCAATATATTGATATTCTAATATATTAATAGTC